ATATCATCCATGAATGTCCTTACCTGTTTTAGCAGAGATGGCGCAGTTAGCAGGACGCTTTCATGCAGACCCAGAAGTAATTTTCCTGGACCTCCCCCCTTCCACCCCACCACCCCTGCCATCCTCCCCCTCCTAAACTTGTTCATGGACGAGTTGTGTCCTCTGACCGAGCCTAACAATAAACATGACATGTTCTGCAATGTAAACACTACTGACCATATCAGCCACGCAAAGACTGGTGGATACACTGTGTTGCGGTTTACAGCTAGCCTGCAATATAAGCACCTCTTTGGTACAAAACATCTGATTTCAGCAAAACTCCCTATTACTGGCCTTTCACAACAAGCCTTGAAAAAAATTACGAAAAAAAAGGGGAAGGGAGTTGGGGGGGGGGGGGGGGAGGGGAGGTCCGTCATACATAAAAGATTAAAGTTATCTTTGAAAGGATGGTGAAAAAGAGAACTGATCAGTTAACCCAGTAAATGTCGTTGGGTAACAGTATGAAAACCCTGGAGGTGCACTCTATTCAACGAGCAACGAAAGCCGACACGACTGGGGGATGCAGTGTCGTCACTGAATGTGTCCTTCCTCAGGGAGATACAAAACTCGTTAAACCGGACGGAAATTTGTCCAGAAACCGGAAACAAACAGCTGCAGGCGACCAAGTCATTTCAGTTTCTCCAGGTGATTGATTGATTGACAAGTAAGTACGAATGTAACGACTTCAATCGTGCGTCGGATCGTAAAACTGGATTATAGGATTATATTACCGCTCGTGAGGCCCTTAATCGCCAGCGGCTGACCGAAATCTTACCCCCCAAAAAATGTATAAAAAGTGGTGGTTTTAAAGATAATTTGTCCACTCTGATCAGCACCGTCAACCGTAACTTTGACAGAACTTCAGTGTCCGTGAGTATGAGCGTCGTGACTTGTTGTTGTACATGTTTCCAATCAACCGATTATGAGTACAAGTGTGGCCCTACATTTGTGAGTGTAAGCGTCGTGACTTGTTGTTGTACATGTTTCTAATCAACCGACTATGAGTACAAGTGTGGCCCTACAGATGTGAGTCTACAGAAGCACAAGTTATGGTTCAAGTGAAGATACTTTATCCACCTGACAGACAAATGTTAGTTTCATACCCTGTTCAACCCGTCACAATCCCAACATTCTTTAGCTGCTGTGTGAATTTACTACCAAATGTTACATTCTTTAGTAATTACACAGCCCGGTTACAAAAGTCGTGATACTCATGTCGACGCAGCCTACAACTGCAATAGGAAACGTGGTAGGAAGTGAAGGCAGTCGGTATGACTTTGACCACATCACCAGGCCATTACCCAGTGAGTTATCACACAATGGCTTCAGCACCACATGCCAGCTGCGCCTGTAACTAGAGAAAAGGTTCATGACATTTGTCTAGTTGACTTATTGCTATCGGTGTTTCATCTTCTTTTCTTTGAATCCACACGAACATTTTAACAATATAGTTGCTATTCTACCCCCGTCCTAGTTGATTCTTCAACTGCATTAAAGCTGACACTCCACAACTGTCGATTTTGCCACTCCACCAGTGCCAAGTTATCACTCCACCAGTGCCAAATTATCACTTCACCAGTGCACAGTTATCACTCCACCTGTGTCCAAGTTATCACCCACTAGTGTCCATAATGCCACTCCACCAGTGTACAAATTGTGAATTCCACCAGTGTCAAAATTGCCCCTCCACTAGATTCCAAATTGTGAATCCACCAGTGTCCAACTTACAACTCCAATAGTGCCCAAATTGCGTCTTCACTAGTGTCCAGGTTGCCCCTTCAGCAGTGTTCAAATTGCGACTCCACCAGTGTCGAGGTTGCCACTCAAACAGTGTCCAAATTCCCACTCCATCAGTGTCCAAATGTCGACTCCACCAGTGTCCAAGTCGCACTTCACTAGTGTCAAAACTGCCACTCTACTAGTGTCCAAGCTGTCACTCCACCCGTGTCCAAGTTTGTCTTCCAGCCGCCCATCTCCAATCGACGTTAACTCGACCCAAGAACTTGTGTTGCTTGTCGCCTGTTCTTCCAATCATTTTTCATCCATTCTCCATGTCCTCCCATTAGCTAATTTAGTTTCGTAGCAGCCCGTCCGTTCGATTCTTCGCAGCTAGTTCCGTGTGTTCCCGCACAGCTAGTTCCGTTAGTTCTCGCACATATACTTTCATTAGTTCCCGCACAGATAGTTCTGTTAGTTCTCGCACAGCTAATTCCGTTAGTTCCCGCAGAGATATGTCCACACTACCTCTTTGTTACTTCCTGCACAGATAGTTCCACGCCGTCACTTTGTTACTTCCTGCAGAGATAGTTCCACACCGTCTCTTTGTTACTTCCTGTAGAGATAGTTCCACACCGTCTCTTTGTTACTTCCTGCACAGACAGTTCCACACCGTCACTTTGTTACTTCCTACACTGATAGTTCCACACCGTCTCTTTGTTACTTCCTGCCCAGATAGTTCCACACCGTCTCTTTGTTACTTCCTGCCCAGATAGTTCCACACCGTCTCTTTGTTACTTCCTGCGCAGATAATTCCACACCGTCACTTTGTTACTTCCTACACTGATAGTTCCACACCGTCACTTTGTTACTTCCTACACTGATAGTTCCACACCGTCACTTTGTTACTTCCTGCCCAGATAGTTCCACACCGTCTCTTTGTTACTTCCTGCGCAGATAATTCCACACCGTCACTTTGTTACTTCCTACACTGATAGTTCCACACCGTCACTTTGTTACTTCCTGCAGAGATAGTTCCACACCGTCTCTTTGTTACTTCCTGCCCAGATAGTTCCACACGTCTCTTTGTTACTTCCTACACTGATAGTTCCACACCGTCACTTTGTTACTTCCTGCAGAGATAGTTCCACACCGTATCTTTGTTACTTTCTGCACAGATAGTTCCACACCGTCACTTTGTTACTTTCTACACAGATAGTTCCACACCGTCACTTTGTTACTTCCTGCAGAGATAGTTCCACACCGTCACTTTGTTACTTCCTGCACAGATAGTTCCACACCGTCACTTTGTTACTTCCTACACTGATAGTTGCACACCGTCACTTTGTTACTTCCTGCAGAGATAGTTCCACACCGTCTCTTTGTTACTTCCTGCACAGATAGTTCCACACCGTCTCTTTGTTACTTCCTGCAGAGATAGTTCCACACCGTCTCTTTGTTACTTCCTGCACAGATAGTTCCACACCGTCTCTTTGTTACTTCCTGCACAGACAGTTCCACACTGTCTCTTTGTTACTTCCTGCACAGACAGTTCCACGCCGTCACTTTGTTACTTCTACACTGATAGTTCCACGCCGTCTCTTTGTTACTTCCTACACTGATAGTTCCATGCTGTCATTTTGTTAGTTCCGGTCCAGCTAAATACATACTGTCCATCCATTAGTTCACGCACAACAGAACTGTTCTACAAGGAGTCATCTGTTTCATCAGCCAATCACTGAACAATCATTACATCAATAAATCAATCAGTAAATCACAAGTTTACCCGGTCTATACAAACATCAATAAATCAGTTACTTCCCCATAAGTTCATCAATCATCAAAAACTACTGAATGGATGCCTCGTGGATGAGGCTATGGGGCTATCGTTCGTCATTTAATCTCATCACAAACGAATCATCCCATAGTTGCTCTCTTCCCGCGCCATAAAACAACAAACACAAAATGTACCAAAGAACAATCAAACTGACGCCGGTCTCGACAAAATTTAACAGCTCGTACATGCGTTAAATGCATCAGGCAGCCGTAGTAAGTGCTAATAAATACAGTAGATTGCTTGAGTTGCTATAATTGATAACAGCAGCAGTCGGAAGAACCAGCAGGTGCACACGGGTTACTACATTAGGCACACCATCAATACTGTAGCAAACATCTCCTCGCTTTTTTTTTCTGATTAATTTTCTGACTGTAATTTTCTGACTGTAATTTTCTAACTATGTAGTTTTCTGACTATGTAGTTTTCTGACTATGTAATTTACAACACATATATCCCAGAACAAGCCTTTGTACGTGAAATGTACAGCCCACAATGTTGTACTATGCACCCAAGTCAGTAGCAGCTTAAACCGACAAAAACTGGATTTTACCTTTCTTACCCCTTTGTCGCTCAATCCAGTTTTCCACTGAGATTTGGAACCCCAGCCTTCCACTAGATTAACTGGGAGAAGAGCATCAAACACTTGAATGTGAGGCAGGCTTGAGCAACAATGGCTAACAGACATTAGGAGTCTGGTATTGCGTATCGCCCATTAGGGCACAAGATCAAAGATGATTCGATATCTAGTGAATGTTCATGACAATTATTTCTAGGTGAACCAATCAGTGAATGTGTATGAAAATTATTTCTGGGTCAACCAATTAGTGAATGTGTAGGATTATTATTTCTAGGTCAACCAATCAGTGAATGTGTATGACAATTATTTCTGGGTCAACCAATTAGTAAATGTGTAGGATAATTATTTCTAGGTCAACCAATCAGTGAATGTGTATGACAATTATTTCTGGGTCAACTAATCAGTGAATGTGTATGACAATTATTTCTGGGTCAACCAATCGGTGAATGTGTATGACAATTATTTCTGGGTCAACCAATCATTGAATGTGTATGACAATTATTTCTGGGTCAACCAATCAGTGAATGTGTATGACAATTATTTCTGGGTCAACCAATCAGTGAATGTGTATGACAATTATTTCTGGATAAACCAATTAGTGAATGTGTATGACAATTATTTTTCGCTCAACCAATCAGTGAATGATTTAACAAGCCAACGAGTGTGTATGACAATCATTATTCAATCACTGAATTAACCATCCACAGATCAGTCAGCCAACTAACAAATCTCTGTCACATAGACACAAAAACCACATACAAGTTCAGGTCCTTATGTTCACGTTGTTTAACAGGTATTCCTCCTCCCTCTCCCCTTCTGTGTCTACAGATCATGTACAAGACAGTCGTTGTCCTCCTGGCTCTAGCCGCCCTCTCAATGAGTGCCCAAGCTTTCAGCTATGGGATTGGTGCATACGGTGGATTCCCTGGACTAGGTGGTGGATATGGAATGGGTGGTGGATATGGATTATTAGGTGGTGGATATGGATTAGCCGGATTAGGCGGGTATGGTGGATATGGGGGATATGGATTAGGTGCATTGGGGGCCTACGGTGCACTGGGTGGAATGGGATATGGATTAGGTGGATATGCATTCGGTGGATATGGCGGTAAGTTACTGGATGTTTGGGATTTTAGTTTTAACTCTTAAATGCTTGTCTATTTGTCGCCTATTTGCTGTCTAGTTACTGTCTACTTTTTGGCTAGTGGCTGTACAGTTGCTGCCTAGTTACTGTCGACGTGTTGTCTATTGGCTGTGTAGTTGCTGTCTAGTTACTGTCTACTTGTTGCCTAGTGGCTATACAGTTGCTGTCTAGTTACTGTCTACTTGTTGTCTAGTGGCTGTACAGTTGCTGTCTACTTGTCTAGTGGCTGTACAGTTGCTGTCTACTTGTCTAGTGGCTGTACAGTTGCTGTCTACTTGTCTAGTGGCTGTACAGTTGCTGTCTAGTTACTGTCTACTTGTTGTCTAGTGGCTGTACAGTTGTTGTCTACTTGTGTAGTGGCTGTACAGTTGCTGTCTACTTGTCTAGTGGCTGTACAAATGTTGTCTACTTGTCTAGTGGCTGTACAGTTGTTGTCTACTTGTCTAGTGGTTGTACAGTTGCTGTCTAGTTACTGTCTACTGTTTGTCTAGTGGCTCTGAAGATGTTGCCTAGTCAGTTAGTTGAGTAATTTTCAATGCACTCCGGACATGTCCATAAGTGCTCAGATCCTTCCCTCAGTATGAACCCCAGCGTCTTTCGACTAATGGTGCCAGTTCTTTGTTGACTGATAAATCTTTGTGTATGCCTGGTGTGTCTCTCGCTTGTGGCTTTTGGCCCCCGTGTCCTGGGACGAGAATAAAGAGACGTTAGGCACAGAGGACTCCTGTAAGGGCTCAATCCACTGCTTTCGCATAGAACCTGCCTGGATCTTGCAGATCATGCCTATGGAATCGCCAAGTAAACAAACACAGGTATTGTTTTATGTTCTTAGCCATAGGACTGCTTGCGTTACAGCCATCACCTCCATGGTCATGCTGCTGGTTGTCATCGAGAAGACACCGCTGGCTTCTTTGATTGTTCTGCCAGCTGAGCGTGCTGTCAACGCCCGCGCATTTCTGGTTGCTGACAATTGTTACCTAGTAGCTCTCTAGTTGTAGTTACCTCATTGTTGTCAAATTGTTGAACAGTTAAGATCAAATAGTTATCTAGTTGTTATCTTTTTATTGCCTTGTTTTTGCCTTGTAGTTTACTCCTTCTCTAGTTGACGTCTGGAGGTTGTCTTTTCGTTTTCAGTTAATTGACTTATTGTCTATGGTTGTCTAATTGTTGTCCAGCTGTTGCCAAAACGTGTCTAACTTTTGTCCAGTTGTGTAAAACGGTTGTCCAATTGTTGTCTAATTGCGTCTAATTGTTGTCCAAATGTCGCCCAAATATGTCTAACTATTGTCCTGTTGTGTGAAACTTGTCCAATTGTTGTCTAATTTCTGCCTAATTGATACTTGGCTACATGCAATGTGGCCTCGATGTGATCAAACAACACAGGTTGCCAGGGAAACCAATGGTGATATCTCATAGAGCTTATAGGTTGTTTTTTTTTTTTCAGTTGGCACCTTTCCGTGTTTCCAGACTATAGTTTGATACTGTGCGATAGGAAGGCATGGAGGCACAGCCCACGGTGTTTCCAGACTATAGTTTGATACTGTGCGATAGGAAGGCATGGAGGCACAGCCCACGGTGTTTCCAGACTATAGTTTGATACTGTGCGATAGGAAGGCATGGAAGCACAGCCCACGGTGTTTCCAGACTATAGTTTGATACTGTGCGATAGGAAGGCATGGAGGCACAGCCCACGGTGTTTCCAGACTATAGTTTTATACTGTGCGATAGGAAGGCATGGAAGCACAGCCCACGGCGATGGCGAGTGTGACTAGCAAGACCCGCTCGTGTTAAGAAAGGTCTTGTGTGTGTACAATATACATGGTGCTGATGCGTATCAGACAGTGCATATCAGTATGGTGAAGTGTACATAACACAGACACAACTCAGGCTTATACACATACGCACACACACACACACACACACACACACATTGGTACAGTTGTATACATGTACAACACAAGTACTCTGTCTGTCTGTCTGCCTGCCTGTCTGTCTGCCTGCCTGCCTGCCTGCCTGCCTGCCTGCCTGCCTGCCTGCCTGCCTGTCTGTCTGTCTGTCTGTCTGTCTGTCTGTCTGTCTGTCTGTCTGTCTGTCTGTCTGTCTGTCTGTCTGTCTGTCGGTCGGTCGGTCGTTCGGTCGGTCAGTCGGTCGGTCGGTCGGTCGGTCGGTTGGTCAGTCGGTCGGTCGGTCGGTCGGTCGGTCGGTCGGTCGGTCTTTCTGTCTGTCTGTTGACTGTATATCTATATATCTATCTATCCATCCATCACACATCCATCCGTCCGTCCGCCTCTTGCTACCTGTCTGTTTCATAAGTAAACATACACAGGAAAAACACAGGTCTCTCTCTCTCACAGACAGACCGACACACACACACACACACACATATATGCTGACACAGCAGCTAAGCTAGTACTTTCACATACACACACACACACACACAGATATGCTGACACAGCAGCAAAGCCAGTACTTTCACACACACACACACACACACACAGATATGCTGACACAGTGTAATCAACTATTTTTTGGCGGAATCTATCGTCGCCTGGAGATCCCCTATATCCTTCCAAATTAACTTACAGGGCTCGAATTAAATAAGTCTAGGGGAATTATAACGGTCCCTGAGTTCTGGAAAATAGAGGAAGGAGAATACAGAAAGTTAAAGAATAGGGTGAATCCCCGAAAATGTCCTAAAGAAATTCAGAAAACCACCAAAGTCAAAACTTTGTAAATTTAACTCAAATAAATTGCAATGAACAATCTTTAGTCTACCTAAGAAGTAAATTTGATACGATGAAATCAATAACTGGAATTTCTAAACCACAACTGTATTGATAAACTACTGATATTGAATTCAACAATTTTCAAATTAACACAGAGAAAATAAATCACGGTGTCATCATGTACACCACAAAACTCAGAACAAACATAAAATTTCACTCAGCTTTCCGATAGTATTGATGAGCGGAAATGAAGTTTCCTTTGGAGGAATGTCCACTGATAAACCGGCAATCAGGAATACGGTTCACGTTCCTCAAGCAACTAGGCAAACAGTCCAACCGGAATCCGGAATTACGGTCCTCTGGTAAACAGGCAGGCAGGACTACGGTAACACGGGAATATGGTCCTCTGGTAAACAGGCAAGCAGGACTACGGTAATACAGGAATATGGTCCTCTGGTAAACAGGCAAGCAGGACTACGGTAATACAGGATTATGGTCCTCTGGTAAACAGGCAAGCAGGACTACGGTAATACGGGATTATGGTCCTCTGGTAAACAGGCAAGCAGGACTACGGTAATACAGGAACCTGCGGAATACATCATTTAGCCCTGTGTTGAGCATTATGTCGACACATCTGGAGCAGGTGGAGGTGTTGCGGTGTCTGTGGTGTTTTTCAGAGTAGTAAGCAAGAAAGAACAAGGTTCATATGTTGTCTTTCCCTACAAGTAAATCAAAATTATACATCTCCACCCTATTATAATATGTTGGTTTATACCTATCTAAATTATGGCACGATCATATAAAAAAACTTGACATAATTAAGCGGACACACATTCGCCTGCGGATTGGACAGTTATTAGTTCGAGTCCCAAACCCCAGGTCGACTTCGCCTTAACGGACACCAGGTATAGTAATGGGAAGTAAAGGCGGCAGGTGTGATGTTGACCATATCAACACCTAGGTACCACTTGGTCTATAAAACATAGGCCAACCCGATATGCCCACAAAGCTGACGACTTTTACTCAAATCATGTGTTGCATAATATAATGACATAAACAATGTAATGTATACCCAACTGATGATACCACATGGCACAGGATAATGGTTTCTACTATAAGATCTTTACGCAAGTAGACCGAATGAATATAAGAGTGACAGAGGGAAGAAGGGTTCGCTATTGAATAGTCCTAACGGGGAATAGTAACTTTAAGAACGTCATAATATGTAAGGACTAGTGAATTGTCCAACGGACAAGTATCAAGGTTGATGAAGTCACGGAATATTTATACAATGGTAGAATATAGAATAGTGGGATCTCAATAAAATATTTTAGGATACAGCTAAGGCTTATAGGGGATCTCAGCTACTCCCTACCATTATAAATCTCACCTGAACTCGTATAAGGTATTATTATTGTGGGTTTTAGGCCGATGGTATGGCTGGCAATCGTTCTGTGTTGTGACGAGATTAGATCTCCTAGTAACACCACAAAACGTCATAAATTATGTGCGCCTTTGTACCTTTTTATTCTTTTAGCGTCTATGTTTAAATATATTTATTTTACGTGCGCAATTCTTTTAACTAAAACTTGCAATTAACTCTTGCCGGACTGAAATATTTCTCCCGTTTTGTCACATATGCCCCCGGAAAAGAAAATTTCAGTTACGAAATTTAAATAGAGGAAATTTCAGTTCCCAAAGAGTTAAAAAATCAAATTATTATTTTCTTGCAATCTCACACGTTCTCTTCCACTTTGCACATATAAAATGTATGTGTATAAAATTTTAATTTTGTGGACATTGTGCCCGAATGATGTTGTTTAAAATTAAACGGAGAGTTCTCACCGAAAGAGGTTACTTCATCTTGGGAGGAGCCTACATGTATTTCACAGTGATTGCTGGAATTCCGGTGCTTATATGTGTATCTAGATCATCTCATTCGGTTAGGACAGAATTTCGGTCATCTGACGAAATCTCCTACAAGAATCAAGACCAAGCTCGCTCGAGAACCGAAAACTTTTCAGTCAGGGAGGATTCCTAGCTAGCTAGCAAAACCTCTCACATGGCACATGTTCTCGCTCATTTGAGACCCGAACGTAAAAGAAGAATTATTTTATATCATTAAGTTAAAGTCGGCAAACTAATTTAATATTTTAGTTACCTAGTGACTCAACTTTCATTCTTTATAATAGAAGGTATCATTTATTCAGTCAGGGATGGCTGCGCTGTGCGGAGTCTCCCACAAGGATCGTGTCCTTACTCTCTTGAGAACTGAATTT